TTTTTTTAGTGTAAAATTTGGTGTTATGGTTGGAGATAAAAAAAAATTTTTGACACCAAAACATACCAAATTTAGTGTAATGGTTGGAAATACTCTTAGAAGTCAAAACTTCAAATCTGATGTGGCATTAGGAGAAGTACATAAGTGTCAATTTCTTGACACTCAACTTTTATGTATATAAGATTATTCTTGAGAAATTTTAAAAAATACTATTTTTTCAAAATTATTTTTTTTTATATTATTTATATTTGGGTTAATTATGTTCTATTAGGGTTTAGTTTTGAGTGTGTAGAGGGTTTTAGGTGTCAAAACATTTTTTAGGGTTTAGAATTTTATGATATAGGTTTTATAAATCTATAATTAATGACATTTTCGAAAATAGATATCTCTAAATAGTATTTTTGTAAATGTGCACATAAAAAGTGATATCTTTGTAATTGTCTAAAGATTCTTTAAACGCTCAGACACGTGTGGAATATGTGTTTCAGTGTGTGTAATGTATGCCAAAAAGGTCTATCAACTTGTCAAGCACCAAATTCGAAAAAGTAAAGTCACTTTTTTACTTTTGTTGGCGGAGAAATGTTGTGCTGTAAAGTGTAAACAGAAAAATAATTCTATCATTTTTTTCCTTTTTTGCGTCAAAAATCGTTCTATCATTTATTCCACCAAAATTCGAATGTGCATAAATAAAAGTGGAACCATTACAAAAATACCATTTTTTATATACATTTACAAAAATATTATTTAGAGATATCTATTTGTAAAAATACCACTAATTATAGATTTATAAAACCTATATCTTAAAATTCTAAACCCTAAAAAATGTTTTGATTTCTAAAACCTCCTAAACTCTCGTAATTAAACCATAATAGAACATAATTAACCCAAACATATATGATATAAAAATTTTTTTTTTTAAAAATGACATTTTTATAAAGATTTCAAAAGTATGACATTTTTATAAAATGATATTTAAAAAATGATATTTTTTGAAATTTCTCAATAAAATTTGAGATAGCCAAAGAGTTGCATTATTTGCATTATAATGTCTCAAGACTATTTATATACGCACTATATACGAACATAATTAATCCGATCTAGAGTAGGCAATCCATGATTCACGACCGAAAGTTAAATAATTATTCTTTAATTTGCTGAAGACAAAAAAAATCTGCCTATAATATATTGGATTTGGTAACTATAAAATCAAGAATAAAATATTTTGTATTGAAAAAGCAATAAGACCATGATATATCTGTGTAGATCGAGCAAATCAGAAAAAAAGAAATCAATATATTGTTATACCTACTCTAGATCGGATTCTGATCGTGTGGGAATCAATTTGTTCACCTACTTCTTCTTCTTAGCTAGTTTACCTAATCATTTGGGCAGATTCAAAATAAATTTAGGTCATGCATTTTCAAATTACTATGACGGATTGATTTGAATTGTTTTTTTTCAAACCGATTAGTATTATCATCTTTCGCTCCAAACTAGGAGGAATGGTTTACAGATACAATACCAAATTTTGCTAAAGAATATGCTAAAATATTTTCCGATCGAGAAATAAAGACAAACGAGATAGAGGTGAAATCCTCACTGAGACAACGCATGTCATAGAGGAGAGATTTCAACTCGTTGATCACACCATTCGTGTTGATAAGTGTAGCCAACGAGAGAGAATCCGAGAAGCAATTGAGAACTCGAAAACCCTTGGATTTAGCTGCAATTAGAGCAGCTTTTAATGCTAAAGCTTCTGCGATCAAAGCCGAAGCTACACTCTTCTTGGAGGTAGAGGACTGACTTATAGTCTGAAGATTTGGATCCTTGAAACACCATCCTACTCCACAATCCCGTGATGCAGCAATCCAAACAGCATAGGTAAAACAATGGACTGCCTGCAAAGGTAGCAACGGAGGTCGAGGAGCCGGCTGAGATGGTTGCAAAGTAACCTTGGGAACTTGAGCCTCTTGCCATGAACGTGCTTCTTTGATCGATTTTAAAACCACATCTTCCGTTGAGGTTTGTCGATCATCAAAGACAAGTTGATTCCTAGCTTTCCATAAATTCCATACCAACCACGAAACAGGGGAGAGTCCAATATTCCTGACGGAGGCAAATTTACCTATCGACTTGCAGCTTCAAGGAATTGGTTCATAGTACAAGGCTTCCTACAATCTGGTTTGAACAGAATTGGAGTGAATTCCCAGACCTTGGCTGCAAAGGGGCACAACATAATGATATGTAATTCGTCTTCAATAACTCCGCAATGTTTGCAGACCTGTACATCACCGATTCCGCGTATGGTGAGGTTACGACCCACCGCTAATGCTTTGTTCTTCAACTTCCAGAGAAAAGTTTTTAAGTTTGGCGCGGTCTTCACCTTCCAAACACATACTTTCCAGTCGAAGTTTTCAATAGCAACCGAAGCGTTGTTTAGCTTTGCAATAGCGTATCCAGATTTGGTTGAATAAATCCCTAATTTAACAGGTAGCCAAGCCATTGAATCACCCATGACAAAAGAGCTGAGTTCGATGCTTGTGATAACATCCTCATATTGAGGTAAGTGCCTGCGAATGGCTTCAACATTCCATGTGTTAGTACTTGTATAAATCAAGTCTGCCACCGTTAGGTTCCTTGAGTCAAAGGGAAGAGGGCCATAAGGCTTGGTGGGGGCCAACGTAGAAAGCCAAGCATCATCCCACACCTTAATGCTTTTGCCAGTTCCCACCAGCCAACCTATACCTCTTTTAAGTACTTCCCGACCTGCTAAGATCCCGCTCCAACCGTGAGACGAATTTGATGTGGTCGAGCTCTCCATAAAAGAGGCGGAGGGAAAATATTTTCCTTTGAGCAATCTAGATAGTAAAGAGTTT